TGTACTGCCAAATATTAGAGGCTCAGTGTGCAAACTTCTTCCTTCAGCCATCACTTTTCTGATAGCAGCAGAAAATGAACTCATCTCACTATCCTACTATATATAATGTCGATGTCGAGGGGGGGTGTGCAGCACGTCTGAAACGGAAAACTCAATGAAATCCGAGGAAAACCGGAAATCTGAATAATGTGACACTATGCTTCACGAGCTTTTCTACTTTCGAACTGCCTAATATTGATGAGAGCGAACAATAAGTGGTATAACACATTACACATACTTCAGCGAGCAGATTGCATGGTAATTGAAAAAGGACGCATTCGTCAATAGGCATTTCTGCGCAGGTGATGGAATCGGAATTTTTTCTACTGAGCGATTCATATGCGCTGTATTGGCCGACTGCACTTTCCATCTCTTTCTAGATGTATGTATTGTGTGGGCGTTATGGCGCGAACCACCACCCCTCCTGCAAATATAAGCGTGTGCTAAGGAGTGCAGGATCCGTAGGGTTTCTGTTAAGGTTCGGTCATTACAGGGCAGTATGAGCATCTCAGTATGAGAAAGTTCTTTTTCCACTAGGAACGCACCTGGCGAAGCTAGGTGCGCTCCATAGTGGAAACGCCTATGAAAGCCGTAGCCGGGCCATGAAAGAGGAGAGCTCGGCGTTAGCCGAGCAACCAACCGGTGGTCCATATTACAAAAGCCAAAAGCAAAAGTAGTTCCAAGCATCTAAATTCCAAGAGGAATGCGGATTAGTAAGTGAGCGCAGTTATTTCATGGCCTGTTCGTACCTTATTATATCACACCTATAAGACATAGTATTGTATTATACCTAAGGGGCATTTTCTATAAGACATATCGTCATAGATGGTCAAAACGCACCCGCCACACGTATCACTCTGTGGAAGCTTTGAACACGTGAAGCTGAAGAAAGCTTGTCAAGCCACCTGCTGAATGGTATCAGGTTGTCCGGAAAGTTCTCAGCGTTTTGAGTGTTTCACTTCAACTTTCTTAATACTCATCGGATTTAATCGAAATAAGCACCATTCGAATCAGCACACTTTTGCCAATGTGACACCAGTCAAATGGGTGGTCTGGAATCCACGAAATCCACGGGGGCTTTTTGCCTGGTCCTGATTGATGAAGTATTTTCCAGCAGGGAAGTTCTGAAAATGTTTGAAAAGGTGATAGTCGGTTGGTAAAAACCCTTTCTGTTGACAAGTGCTGGCTGCAGCTGACGCAATTTTCGGTACATTTCGTCGATTTCTTCACAGTAGGACTCTGCTGTGATGGTTTGGCCTGGTGACAAAAAGTTATAGTGGATCACACCAGCCGATGACCACCACACTGTGACCATAATCTTTTTTTCGTGAGGATTCGGCTTTGGAAATTGCCTCGGTGGTTCGTCGGCATCCAACCACTGTCCGGAACGTCTCCTGTTATCATACATGATCCACTTTTCATCACAGGTGACAATTCGGTCCAAAAACGGGTCGTTTCTGTTGCGCAAAGCAGTGAAGAGGAAACCTCGAGACGTGCCAATTTCTGCCGGTCACTCACTTGTGGGGCACCCACTTATCGAGTTTTTTCACCTTCCCAATGCGTTTCAGACCATCTGCAACAGTGGATTTGCCAACGCCTAGCTTTTCTGCAATCTCTCGAACTGTTTGGGATGGGTCAGCCTCCACAAACGCCTTCAAATCCTCGTCAGGTATTGCTTTAGGTCGACCGCTACGAGGTTCATCTTCAGCAATGAACGTACAAAAAATAGTAGCACAAAACTGAGAACTTTCCGGAAACCTAATATGTGCATGAAATCCCATTGCTCCACAAGAGTTCACAGTTCACTAATTACACGAATCGAAGGTGGTCTCTACTGACTGTGGCAAGTGTCATTTCGTGACTTGACGAGGTTACACAGGTCTCCCTCAATGGCTCAACACTTCACTGGGGAGTAGCAAAGGCGCTAAATGTACATATTCCCGGCACTTCTAGTGTAGAAATGAACCTCTGTTCGTCATCAAGACACTATTAGAAAGCCACGATGGGAAGTGGGAATAGCTCGAAACAAGACTCGAATTTCGACCCCTCCGACAAGCTCGCCCTTGACGCCCCATTGCTCTGCGGGGAACTTACCGATCAGCTTTTTCAGGGGAATCCATGCCAAAGGATGGGGAATCGGTAGAGGTCATGAAATGCCCTCACATCTACAGATAGCAACACCTGTAGTCGACAATTGGCAGACAGTCGCTTCCCAAGAGGCGCCTCATGTGCCATGCACATGTACAAGGTCCAAGTTTCCATCTCTTAATCGCTCGACCCGATTTTGAACCCCTTCAAAAAGTTCTGCCTCTTGCCTCACAATTCACATATTGTGAGCTGCTCCCGCCGTTTGAGAACCTAGATCGAATGTAAAAAGTGCCAGAGCCCTCATTTGTGTGCACCTTTCACTGCATTTCAGCGAAGGCAAAAACAACAACAATCAAGGAGGTATAGAAAACAAGCACACTACTTTGTGGAGAAAAAATTATATACCGAACCTAATTGGGAACGTTGGGGAAGTTCTCACCTTTCCAACAGAATTCAGTGCAAGAACAAAAAGCCATCCCTTATCCGCCAACCCAATCCTACGACCCTTTGACAGCGATGATCTATGAAAAGGCAAGGGATCAGGTGGGAAGGTAGTGCGGTCTGGAGTGGACAACACTGTGTCAGTTTCGCTGCAGGAAGTTAACACGTTGACGTCTGACAATGGTGTCTGCCACTATATTGTCCTAATAATGAAGATGTGCGAACAGCCAAGTTTGCTGGAAACGTATCCCTAGGGTAGCTTGTCCTTTTGGAACGAATACCACAGTCGCTTGGCACGAACTGCCTGGCGCCGGCGCCAAAATACCATAAATCACCAAATTCGCTGAAAACTTGTCTCCTGGGGCAGCTTGACCCCGTGAACACGAATATCACAATCGCTTGCCACGAAACTGCCTGGCGCCCGCGCCACAGGCGCCGACGCCAGGATGTTCTAGGTAGAATTCGCTGTAATCATGTCTCTCACGCTAGTTGACCCCCTGAACGCAAATATCATATCAACTTAACGTGCTGACGACGATTTCCGTCAATGGTGGACGACAGCCAGTTTGTCTTGTGGGACGGCGTCACCCAATGCTGTCCGACAGTTATTTATAACTCAAAATCTGTGATTGTTTCATTTTCTGCCATATTG